GCTGCCTAGAGAGCCGTAGAAACGTAGTTGGTCACGAAAATAAGACCGTGTTCGCTGGACCTCGTACAGACGCTTTTACCGTTTCGCAACCCTCGACTCCGTGGCGGATGGTCACGGGTTGTGTAAAGGACTTGATGGGCGGTAGCAGACGGGGTGATCGCTGTGAACGCGCTGGAAGGACCGACGAGACAGAAGGAGTGAACAGGAGCAGAGGCAGAACGAGTTCTATAATACTGAATTGCAGACAAAGGGGCACTTCAAACACTCGATCCAGGCATCCCGCCAATCCTTCGACACAAGCCAGCGCCTCATGAAGCAAAATTGCCGAGCACCCCCGCTCTCCGCTTTGCTTTTTGCTATGTTTGCTAGTTTTGTCCAAATCACACCTGCGTTCTCAGTACCTACAGATTTTCTCAGGAACCAACACCACCTTCTCATTGCCAGGAGGTGTTCACTTCCTTGAGCCATGGCTCCCACATGTAAGCAAGCACTTCCAGTCTCTGGAGGCCTCTGGTTGACGGCGCTGAAACCCAGTCTGTCCATACTGCTGCAACTGCCTCACAATCGCCCGTGCCCCAGGAGACGACCAATATCCTCAAGGTCGCAACGCTTTTACCTGCCGGACATGCCCTTACCAATTCGTCCTTGACGATCAGTACTACGAACGTACTCACATGAAGAAGAAAGAGAAGGATGACATCCTGGGAGAGGAGCAATCTGACTTGCCAGTCAACGAAGGTACTCCATGCCCACACCGAATGACGCAAAGAGAATAACGTTACTGACGCTGTGTACCTCGTAGTTCCCGGAGGCTGCCCAAATGAGAAATGTGACTCCAAAAAGGCCTACTTCTACCAGTTACAGACACGGAGTGCGGATGAACCGCCTACCTCTTTCTTCAAAGTATGTGTTGGATTCGTTCCAATTCCCTGGTTCAAAGACTGACAAAGCGCAGTGTATTGAATGCGGAAAACAGTGGAGAGAATATTGATCCATCATATGTACACATCTCGTCCCCGGCCGCCTGAATGGCACCTTCCTCTATGACAAAATGCGGAGATGTGGACCAAGGATCGTTTCTTTGGTAAAGAGGAAGAGCCAGAATGCAAGGCTAAGAGTACATGTGGTTGCCTGACACAGAATTGCCTTGAAATCAAAAATTTTGGCTTTTCGAGGAAGAAGCTGGGCAAGAGCGAGAAAAGCTCGCAATACTCAAGCATAATCTGATCGAGGTCCACTTGCGGAACGAGAAGCCGAGGATACGCTGTCGTTGACGAACTCCACCCTCCCTCTGCCACAAGTGACAGTTAGCAACTGGAAATACCAGTGCAGAACATTCATCTGCAATGGGAAGGGAATTGACAGGCCAACTGGCATAACATTAGAGGCAACCAGGTATGGCCTGTAAGAGCTATCAGAAAAGGAAAGCGCGAAATAGAAAGATGAGTCAGTGCTATTGATACCACACAGGAGTGGTTGGTGGCATGGGAGCACATAAGTCTTTGGACCCAAGTCAGATGGAGTTGATGACCCTTAACTCCGTGGGAGGGGTACATATCGAAGTGAAAAGAAGTCAACCGTCAAACAGAGAAGAGGCGCCCTCAGAAAATTGCCGCCAGAAGATTGTTTTGAAGAGGTCTTTCACTGTCTTGAGGGGCGAATCTATCTGGGACTTGGTAGGTGGTGGATAAATAGTCAAGTGGTTGCCACAGATATAGCAGCCTCGGGGAGAATTTTTGTAGATTGTAGTTATCCAATTGGCCGATGGCTGTATGAGGCGACATTTGACACCCTGCAGGATCGTCTCAGTCGCTAGCACATGCCGAAGCTTTCTGTTCCTTCGCCAATCATGGGAGATACATTCAGTGGGCTGACGGAGACAGACCATGATGAGCACTCCGATGAGCTTAGGAGCCTGAGCGAGGAATGGAAGTTCGCGCAGTAGTGGGGCTTGGGCCGCAAAATACAGTGTGAGGGCGAACAACCTGTAGTGAACAGCGCCTCGAGTGGGAGTGAATGACGGTCCAGCACGGGTTTTTTGAGTCACTGCCACTTGGATGGTTCAAAACGCCAAGCTTCGTCCCTCGCCCGCCAGCCTACAAAATCTGTCGCACACTCTCGCCGACTTTGTTTCTCTCCCTTCTTCGTCGCTCAGTGAGTTCTTCACCCTACCCCTACATTTCCCATCACCCAGGACTAATCAGTCAACAGCACCTCTACGCAAGCCGTGGTACCTGAGCATTCGCTGGGAATTCTTCTAGTATCTGCCACAGAACTACAAGACTTCATAAACCATCACAAAACCTCCAATCCGTCACCATGGGGTAAGCCACAAACCTGCCCAAATCTGCCTGCGCTCGAGATCCATCGTCGAAAGCAACCCTCGATCTGATATCAATGATCATCGCTGACATGCATGCCTTCTGTCCAGTAAGGAAAAGACTCATATCAACGTCGTCGTCATCGGACACGTCGACTCCGGCAAGTCCACCACCACCGGTAAGAGGATGCCTACAAGACTGCAACGGCACAAATACTCACAATCAGATAGGCCACTTGATCTACAAGTGCGGCGGTATTGACAAGCGTACCATCGAGAAGTTCGAGAAGGTATGTTTTCATCGCTTCTTTTCGAGTCCCCCTTGCATTTGCCCTCATTTTGGACTTGCCACAAATCACTATCAAAAAAATTTTGGTGGGGGAGGGGTACAGCAAACAACACGTGACATGACACTCTTTATCACAAGCCAATCCATTCACTGACAACCATGATCAACAGGAAGCTGCTGAACTCGGCAAAGGCTCCTTCAAATATGCCTGGGTGTTGGACAAGCTCAAGGCCGAACGTGAGCGTGGTATCACCATTGATATCGCTCTCTGGAAGTTCGAGACCCCCAAGTATTTCGTCACCGTCATCGACGCCCCTGGCCATCGTGACTTCATCAAGAACATGATCACTGGTACCTCCCAGGCTGATTGTGCCATTCTCATCATTGCCGCCGGTACTGGTGAATTCGAGGCTGGTATCTCCAAGGATGGCCAGACCCGTGAGCACGCACTGCTCGCCTACACCCTGGGTGTCAAGCAGCTCATCGTTGCCATCAACAAGATGGATACCACCAAATGGTCTGAGGATCGTTTCAACGAAATCATCAAGGAGACTTCCAACTTCATCAAGAAGGTCGGCTACAACCCCAAGTCCGTCCCATTCGTGCCCATCTCCGGCTTCAATGGTGACAACATGATCGACGTCTCCAGCAACTGCCCCTGGTACAAGGGTTGGGAGAAGGAGTCCAAGGCTGGCAAGGCTTCCGGCAAGACCCTCCTCGAGGCCATCGATGCCATTGACCCTCCCTCTCGTCCCACCGACAAGCCCCTCCGTCTTCCTCTGCAGGATGTCTACAAGATCTCTGGTATTGGGACAGTGCCTGTCGGTCGTGTTGAGACCGGAACCATCAAGGCCGGTATGGTCGTCACCTTCGCTCCTGCCAACGTCACCACTGAAGTCAAGTCCGTCGAAATGCACCACGAACAGCTCGCCGAAGGTGTTCCCGGTGACAATGTCGGCTTCAACGTCAAGAACGTCTCCGTCAAGGAGGTTCGTCGTGGCAACGTCTGTGGTGACTCCAAGAACGACCCCCCCAAGGGTGCCGACTCCTTCAACGCCCAGGTCATCGTCCTCAACCACCCTGGTCAAGTCGGTGCTGGTTACGCTCCCGTCTTGGATTGCCACACCGCCCACATTGCCTGCAAGTTCGCCGAGCTCCTTGAGAAGATCGATCGTCGTACCGGCAAGTCCATGGAAAACAACCCCAAGTTCATCAAGTCTGGTGATGCTGCCATCGTGAAGATGGTTCCCAGCAAGCCCATGTGTGTTGAGGCCTTTACCGACTACCCACCTCTTGGTCGTTTCGCCGTCCGTGACATGCGTCAAACCGTCGCCGTCGGTGTCATCAGTAAGTCCCTGCTTCAGTGTTACTATTAGAGCTTCGTGCTGACTATTTTCCAGAATCCGTCCAGAAGTCCGAGAAGGGAGGCGGCAAGGTCACCAAGGTAAGCTATCACGCGCATATACATAGATGTCTGAATCTAACTTCGTCTAGGCTGCTGTCAAGGCTGGCAAGAAATAGATGTCTTGCACAGGAATTAATTCAATCCATCTACAGTGGTATTGTTTCTTGTGGCGGAGGTTGTGGAAGATTCACTTTCAGGAGCGGGCTTTCATTCCACGGTTCACGAATTGCGGGATACAAAATCTACTCCTGACCCTGGAGATTTCATGGTTTCCGCACGGTTAATTCTTGCCATCAACGGTCTTGTCCTTCTCAGCGGTTCTTTCACACGACAACCAATGTGTACTTGCTACGTTTCGGGGTACTGCTGGCTTTAACGAAAAAAGAGCATGGGTCGCTTTGACTCGAAATCGGGCTGTGCTTATGAAATGATAGAATGATTTCATGTCCATCAAGGGCTACTCACATAGCTCTACGGTCAATCAAAGGATGTGAATGCCCAAAAAACCTATCTTCAGGTCATCGTAGTCAGATTTATCTTGCTGTGGATACGTGTCAACGGTCGTGCTATCGCGGCCCTGTTGACATTTGCCTTCTCATGTATGTCTGTTTCCTTGTGGTGCTGTTTCGTCACCTGTGCACACTCCAAGCAGGTCCTCTCTACACACTGTAGGCGGCACCTGCACGCTATGGCTTCGTGGGAGCGTTCTAGCTATGTGTCTCGACCAGGGCATCAGGCCTCTTATAATTCTTTGACCTGTTCCATCCCATTCCCGTTGTCAGCTTGATTGATCACCAAGCAGTGTAGCCGCCATCTACGATCTGGAGAGTAGGTCAGTAAAACCTCATCACCCTCTACCCACTGAGAAAGAGAGAGGATGACAACAAGTATTTGACTCACCACATCACTTCCATTCAAATACTGCACCACAAATGTTAGCCCGTGTTGAAGTTTACCGCGCCAGAGCAATAGGACCTCTTCCCGTTCTATGAGAGAGAAAAGGTGGAACTTACGCTGCTCGCTCCACTGGCCATCCAGACAATCGTGCCCCTCAACTCGTGTGGCTCTGCCATTCTTCCCATGGGAATGTCTTTTTCCCAGTTGTTCACGAGCTCTTTGCCTTCATTCTCCAACAGTCCTTTTATGAGATCCGTCCTCATATAGCCTGGGCTGAGGCTGTTGACTCTGATGCCTCTTGGACCCCATTCCGTCGCCAAAGACTTGGAGAGCATCTGCACAGCGCCCTTGGAGGTGTTGTAGGCGGCTTGCTTTTGAGGGCGGACACAAATCGTCGCAGACATCGATGCAATCAGTATGATAGAACCCTGGATCTTGTGTTGGAGCATGTGCTTGCCAGCCTCACGGGCGAAAAGCCATGAGCCGCTGTGAGAGTCCCTCGGTCAGTTCCAATAAATTCTTGTATATTACACACGGTAACGTGGAATGACTTGCTCAATGTTGATATCCAACATCTTCCGCCACCGAGCATATTCGTAATTCTCAGCCTCGACGTTATCTACGATTCCAGCAGCCGTGACAAGGACATCGACTTTGCCAAAATCTTCCACGATCTTGGCCCATGTTGTCTTCACGTCCGATTCGATCGTGGCGTTACACTCGTAGGCACGAAGTTCTGGGACAGGGTCATTTGGGTACGCGTCTCGGACTTGAGAGGCTATGGAGGCAATGGACGATTCGCAGTCCTTCATTGACAAGTCAATGCAAGCTCCTTTGGCGCCGGAGAGGGCAAAGGCCGTGAGGAATTCTTTTCCGAGTCCTCGCGCAGATCCAGTCACCACGCATGTTTTGTCTTCCAAAGAAAAGAGTGGCAGAGTTCGGAGGGTGCGACGAGGGGAGAGGAACGTGCATGATGCAGGCTTGAGTGGTGGGGACCGGGAAAGAGAGGTGAAGAGAGAGCGCAACGTTTGTGCAGGAAACATGTCTGCAGAGGTGACAAGCCCAGAAGAGAACAATCTTTGTGTCTATATCTGTTCCTAATTGTCCTGGACACCTTTTCGTCCTTCTCGTCTCCCGAATTGAGAAATTCTATGAAGGAGAATGAGGTCGGACGCCTCCAATTATGCAATTGCGAAGAAAGCTGTTCTGGCCGACTGCGGGAGAGCTCCGTGCGGTTATTGCCTGTACGAGTACACAGCTTCGGGCCATCTTGCGCCGACGCAAGACCAAAACAAAGAAATCAGACTTTCTGAAGCGGCAGGGCGTGGTACGAGTTGAAGGTGTAGCAAGTTGTCAAAGGACAGAAGCAGTCGCCAAGTTTGGTCACCACGTAGCACAGCAGCTGCGGGGGACTTCGGCTCGACCGATCAAAGCTGAAACCTCGCAACCCACCAATTCGGCAAGATGCACAACTGGCGACCCAGTTGAAGCCTTACTAGCCCCCCTGGTTGCCGTATCTGCACGCCTAATGCGCAGTTGTCCAGGTAGGTTTGGGGGCCGTTATGACGGGGCCAACCAATTGTGCGTGTCAAAATGGTTTGAGCGTTACGCATGCCAGCAAAGGAAGCAATCCTAATTAAAAGGAGCCGCATGACTTGCTGGCACTGCATTTTAGCCACCGGTCCCTCCGCCTCTGCTCGGTTGTGTGCGAGAACTGGATAATTGTGCACAGGAAGCCATCGAGAGAGAACGGACGTTTTAACGTTGTCCCAAAGATGTCGTCCATGCTCGATGTGAGGGACGATCGCAGGTCCAGGTCTAAATCCCCGAGCGGTCGCGACAGAGATCGATCGAGATCTCGATCACGCGACGCCCGAGACCGGGACTCGCCCGACGAGTACAGCAGCAGGCGATCGAGCAGGAAATACGCCGAACCACAGGATGACCAGGAGCAAGATCGTGGGTACAAGGACAGGCGTTCTAGCAAGAAATATTACGATGAGGAAGAAGAAGAGCAGGACCGTCGCAATAGGAGGAGAAGCTCGAAGAAATATGCGGACGAAGACGACGAAGAGGACAAATATCGCTCTTACAGGTCCAGCAAGGACCCTCGAGTTCAAGAAATAGCGCCCTCGGACGATGACAGGAACTATGAACGAAGGAAGAAGTCCGACAGCGACTCGGATCGACGCAGAGAGAGGCGAGGGAAATCCGGCAGGGGGAAAGGCGACGATTCAGCGGAGGAGAGCGACTCAGACGCTCGTCGCAGATACAAAGACAGAGATCCTGGTTATCCAAATGGCAACGGGACATATCCCTATCCGCCAGGTGCCTACGGCGAGATGCGGCCAGAAGCAGTTCGCCATATGAGCTACACCGCCAACGATCCTCGATACGCTACCCCTGGAGCATATAATGGTGGTGGCTCTGCGCCTGCACCACAACGCGCGAGTTCCTACGGTGGTGCCAACGGTCCGCAGTACGCCAATCTCGAGCAGTATAAATACGCAGACCCGAGCGAAATTGCACCACGAAGACCAGAGTACGAACGATCTCGTCCATCAGACTACGAACGGTCCCGCACAAAGGATACTAGGGAAAATGGTAACGATTACAGGAGTAGCAAGTATGAGACACGTACCCCAACGGATAAGAAATACGACGACGACAGATTTGAGACCCGAGAACCTAAACGCAAAGATCGCCGCGATGAGTATGACAATTACGCTAGGAGCGACCGGAGACGTGACAAGGACAGATATGGCTCCTCGCCAGAAGAAGTGACCAAGAGGATGCCAACTTTGGCAGTAGGAGGAGCAGCGCTGGGTGCTGCAACGTTAGGCGTGGCACATCACAACTCTCATGATGGCAACAAGCCTCCACCTTCGCCCTTACTTGAAGCATACAAGGGGACATATCAATCCATTTCACCCATGCCTTCAGCCTTGGTTCTGGCCAACCACAAAGGCGATTCGGATTTGTCTGACTTCGAGCTTGATCTAGATGATCGCGATGCGGATGCGGACGCCGAGCTGAAACGAAAGATACGTCAGCTCGAAAGGGAGAAGGAAAAATACACGAAGGGACACAACAGGGGTGCCAGTCTCGCAGAAACGACTCACGAGGTCCGACCACGTCGGCTGTCAAAGCTCGATACCAATTTGGATGTTGAAGTCCGCGAACCCGGTAGTGCCAATCGCGACCGCTCACCATCTAGGAGCATAATGTCGCCAGGAGGGGGAAGCGGGAGAAGGAAGACCGTTTCATTCTACGACCCAAGTGAGGATGCCAAACGTATCGCTGCTGCTCTGGCAGGCACACGGTCCGCACCAGATCCACGTCCGCTGGTACAAATCTTGCCCCGCCTTTCTACAGATGATCTGCTGGCCCTTCGGGCAGAATACAAGAACCACGCCAAAGTAAGTGGGCAAGGTATCAACATGGCCAAGCACATCAAAATGCGTATTCCTGGAAATCTGGGAAAAGCGTGCTATGCAACCGCCCTAGGCCGATGGGAAAGCGAGGCATATTGGGCCAACTCATGGTACCAAGGAGGTGCTTCTCGGCGAGAGTTATTGATTGAGAGTCTGATGGGCCGCTCAAATAGCGACATCCGCGAGATCAAGAACTGCTTCAAGGACAAGAAATACAGCGATGACCTCGAGAAGTGTATCCGCACAGAACTGAAAGCTGACAAGTTCCGAGTCGCTATCTTGTTGGCGCTCGAGGAGAGACGAATGCCAGAATCAACGCCACTGGACATCAGGCTCATCAAGGAAGATGTGGTGCAGCTGGCAGAAGCCTTGGAATCGAAGGGCGGAGAGACGGATATGATCAAGATCATTGTCCTGCGGAGCGATGCTCATCTACGCGAAGTCCTCAGGCTATTTGAGCGGACTTACGGCGTCAACTTTGCGCGGCAGATGATTTCCAAGTCGAGGAATTTGGTCGGCGAGACATTGGCACATATTCTGAATGGTGCATTGAACCGCCCCATGCGTGATGCACTGCTGCTACACCAGGCCATCAACGAGACAGCTCCAGGGAAAGAGCGGACGGAACTATTGATATCCAGGCTTGTCAGAATGCACTGGGAGCCCAAGCACCTGGAACGGGTGAAGGCCGTGTATAGAGAGCGATACAGGTGCAGCGTGGAGGAGGATGTCAAGAGGGAGGTTTGGGGCCAGATGAAGACAGTGGAGGGACGTTTCTGTGCCGAATTCTGCATTGAATTGATTAGGAGCAGTTCAATATAGAACGACGAGGGAGAGTTTCAGAGATGAATCTTCATGGTAAGGCGCAGTCGCGATCTCAGACAGCGACGAGAATAGTTGGTTCGGAGTAGATGTAGGAGGTGTTTTTCCCGGATAGCTGGACCCAAAAGCGAGTCGATGAAGACTCTAAACATAACAGGCAGCCTGAATGAGAAATGACAACTATCTCAATGGCTTCCATCCTCGTAGTTGTATCGAGAGTACAGGAGAATTACTCAGAGTGTATGGAGATGCCGCCACAGATACTCGGTGCAACTCAAGATCCGAGCCCGACGATCGATCTGGAAATCTGCTGCATGCTCGTCATCGATATCGCCTAACACCGGCGTATCTGAGGGAGTTTTCCAGGCAGATCTCATTTTCTATCGCGTGCATGGCCTAGACCTCTTCAACACACTTCGTCATGGTCGTTTCGAGGCCCGTCGTTTCCTCATGACAATCGCAGCATGGCGCATCTGCGCCCAATGCTCCCGCCAGCTCTCCCTTCCTCGACCCGGTGCTCGTCGCCTGGCTGTGTGGCGGATTTCTCCACAGCAGCCTCTGCGATCACTGTCCCAGACCAGCCTGCGCAGTGCCTTTGCACCCCCGACACCTGCATCGCTTGGGAAAGCCGTGCCCGCCAGACAATACAAGAGGACGAAAAAATGGGTGCGCAGACTCGCATACTTGTTCCTGGGCGGGACCGTGGTGTATGCGGTGGACAAGAGATACTACGCATCCAGTCTCACGAGGAGTTTCCGCACTTTTTCCATGGGCTTGATTGCCGCGCTGGACTACAAGATCAATTTCCGAGAGGATCCGTGGTTTGCCAACGACATCGCCGAAGTGCACGCACGTAACGCGACGAGGTTGTTCCATCTCCTGCGGACAAATGGCGGTCTCTACCTGAAGATTGGCCAGGCCATTGCCATGCAGACGGCCATCTTGCCTCCCGAATTCCAGAAGATGTTCTCCAAGATGTTTGACGATGCACCACAGAATGACTGGGATGACGTGCGGCGGGTCATCATGGAGGACTTTGGCGGTCGGACGCCCGAAGAGGTGTTTGGCGTCTCCTTCGAAGGTGATCCTGACGCAGGCGTCATGGAGAGGAAAGCCCGTGCCAGCGCGAGCGTGGCACAAGTACACTGGGCCAGGCTGAGAGATGGACGGGAGGTGGCCATCAAGATACAGAAGAGGGAGATTGCTCAGCAAGTCGGATGGGACCTGTGGGCTTTCAAGGTGGTGACCCGAATATACACGTGGTGGTTCGACCTGCCTCTCTACTCACTTGTTCCCTATATCACGGAAAGGCTCTTGCTGGAATGTGATTTCGAGAGCGAGGCGAACAATTCCAAGGAGATGGCCAAACTTATCCGGGGCGAGCCCAGGTTACGGGACAGGGTCTACATCCCTAAGATTTACGACGACCTCTCTACAAAAAGGGTTATGACTGCTGAATGGGTCGAAGGCGTGCGGCTGTGGGATAAGGAGGCTATCACTCGACCCTGGCAGGGGGGCTGGCGAACTGGCAGTCCGGGTTGTCACGGCACTCCGCTCGATCCGCCTGAAACCCCCATCACTTCGCTGCAGGAAAAGGCTCGGTCGTACAACGAAGAACTCAAGCCGGACAGGACATGGTGGAGGGGCTCGAATGGCAAGGGCGGTCTGGGTCTCGATCTCAAAGAGGTCATGACCACGATGGTTGACCTATTCTCTGCCCAGATGTTTCTATGGGGCAAGGTGCATTGTGATCCTCATCCTGGGAACATCTTCGTTCGACGGCTCCCCAATGGTCATTCCGAGCTTGTCTTGATCGACCATGGCCTATACATCACCATGTCTCCCTCATTCCGACATCAATATTCCCTATTCTGGAAGTCTCTGATGACATTCGACAACAAGACCCTCAAGGAAGTCGTCAGCCAGTGGGGCATCAACAACGCCGAGGTCTTTGCGTCTGCTGCACTCATGCGTCCTTATGAAGGAGGGGATCATTCAGTGACGACGCGATTGAAGGGCATATCAGAACACGAGAAGAAACGACGCCAGTACGAGCTGCAACAGGCCATGCGCAAGGGCATCAAAGAAATCTTGGCCGACGAAACCAAGTGGCCGCGCGAGTTGATCTTCATCGGTCGCAACATGCGCATCGTCCAGGGCAACAACCAGTACCTGGGCAGCCCCGTGAACCGGATCAAGATCACGGGCAACTGGGCCTCGCGGGCGCTGGCCGAGGACCAGCACCTGACGTTTGTCGAGAGATGGAAGTTCTTTGGCAGCCACCTGATGTTCAAGCTGGTCCTGTGGGCCTCGGACGCGTACTTTTGGTACGCGAAGCTCAAGCAGGCGCTCGGGAGGGGCAAGGGCATGGACGACGACGTCGAACAGCTCATGAGGGGCATGGCCAAGGACTATGGCATCGAGATGAACCACAGTGTCTTTGAAGGCTGAGTCTGCCTCTTTCCTTTCTTGGACATTTGTACAATGTACCGATACCTATGTACTTTCCTTCCTACCTTGTTTCTTTTGGGATTTTGTCTGGTCAAAAGACATTAAAACATCCAAAGAAGAGTTGTTTTTCTGGTGTTAGATAGAGCCACTGACTCATTGACTCGCCGACTCACTCAGTGGCTGAGTGAGTTAGTGAGGAAGGAACAAGGAAGAAGGACCAAGGATACATACATGCATACATGTAGGTATGTATGCATGTATGTATGTAGATAGATAGATAGACTAAAGTCCGCTCAGCAAATATCGATATGATATGATATGATATGATGATCACGTCTCAGGGAATCTTTGATTTTATTGACGAGGACCCGTAGTACCAAGCACCGGGTTAGCAAGGACTGGGTCTCGGGTACTGAGTGTCGAGGACTCTGTAGCATATACCCTATACTCCGTACGCCTAAACACAGAGAGAAAGAGACGGACAATGGACAGTGGACAAGGGTTGATATCTTGATTCCGGTACACTGGTACGTATGTAGGATGTAGGTTACTGTAAGTTGCAAGGCTGAGACCATGGCTACCCCGTCAGCAGCCACCGCAGGAGACGTTCAGGTCCTGCTCCTGGTGAACCTGCTTCGAGAAGTTGCAATTTTGTCCGCTCTTGTAACAAGTTCTCGCTTCTGCAACTGATATAAATTTTTCGGTAGATTGATACGTCTTCTTCCCGAAGACCAACACAACATAGTTGACAAAAATCCCCAAAAGCAGAACCTGCAATATAATTCTGGGTATGTTAGATCATTGGCGACAAGACAACCGGAGCGCCCAACGCCGCAAATACATCATTACACCAAGGCCTTGCCATCGATGGCGGTGTAGTGGTCTTCCAACGCCCTGGCTCGCCCTCAAGCCGCAAAACACCCCAAGATCCCTTTCTTGGACGAACGCTTCAAGGCAAGTGCGGCGAACAAGATATACAATTCAGTGGGCACAAAGTACCATTCAAGAGGACAACGAAGCCAGCTCCCATCCAGCGACGAGTAACCAAAATTTTGTGGGATGACAAAGTTTACATCATCATCATCATTCTGGTAGCTCGCTTGCTGCTGAAGCTGGGGCGTGGGGAGCTTTCGCCGCCGGCCCATGGTTTGTGCAGGAAAGGTTGACCATCGACATTATCCCAGTGAGCAGTCTGTGTAGTGGCGGTGCTGCTTCGATTCGCGTTGTAGTGGGCTTTGGGAATGGGCATCAGGTCAATGGTGCTGCCGCGGTATAGTGGTCCCATCAGTCGGTCCTTGACCGACTTGTTTCGTCGAGGCATGGCTGACTTCTCAGGCGGGTTCTCGACGAATTTATCGGGCTTGTCTGAGCCATCTTGATTCTTCTCGCCTGCGAGGATGGCCCGTTCTTTATTGAGAGCTGCTAGATGTCGAGAGCGGCGGAAGTGGATGATGAAGAAGGCGAAGAGGCCAATGACGATAATGGCCACAACTGCGAGACCGACACCGAGACCAGCTTTGGCACCTGTGCTCATGTCGCGTTTATGAAGGTGTGAAATTGGCGAAGCCAGAGTGTTTGAGGGAAACATCGCCACGAGGGCGAGCAAAGCCGCAGGATACAGAGAATGAGCCATGGATAGTGACATGGCGATTCTGGAACAAAGTGAATCTGGATAGATTGCGATGACTTGTACGACGTCTTCGACCAGCGACACAGAAGTAATTCGAAGGGGAAAACCGAAGGAAAGATTGTTGGGACGGGTCGAGTGGTGATGTTGGAAAGAGGCGAGAAGATCTTCAGAGAGGATGAGGCGTACGGAGTAATATGCACGAAAGGGGACCAGGGCAAACCAGAGCCTGTGGAAACGGTGGGTAGAAGGGTGTGACGGAGGTCCTGAAAGACGTCAATGGATAGTAAGTAAGCACTTGATGGAAAAGAAAAAAGGGCAGGTATGTAAGGAACGAGTCACGGACAAGTAAAGATGCAAGAGGGAGACGCGGGTGTGAAGCTTGAGCGGCAGTATTTGGCGTCTTTGAACCTGATCTTGTCAATTCTCTTGAGCATCCAGGGCTGAAGTGGCACCAACGAGCAACAAGTGACCAGCAGCAAGCCACCAAGCATCCAACGCAGCGTCGGCGACACGGACAAGGGAAGAGGAAAAGGAGATGCGCCTATCCAAAAGGAGTACAAAAGAGTGGTTCTCCTGGTGGCCCGCAGCTTCATCTGAAACGTTGGATAGGCCGTTGACGGGCGGCTGATTGGAGGACGCGCTCGTATGGATCCCGCCAGGTCTGTCAGGCTCGAGAATAGAATAGACATTTAGACATTGCGTGGGACCTGGAGCTGAAAAGGACTGAGCGCAATGATGGACGGGGTTCCGTGATTGGATGCAGGGGGGGATGCACCGATCAGCCAGGGCTATCCTGGACCTTGGCTTTGTCTGGGGAAATTCAGGTTCGGATGGACGCGAATGGACATGGACGGACTTGGATCTGCTGCCTTGGGTCCGCGTAGTTTCTTGGTATTATCTTGACATTGCCACTGCTCGT